TATCCACGTGGAAAACTTAGGCGGGCCACGTAAGCCTCTCCGTTTGCTCAGTCAGACTTAACGTTAACAGCGTTAAAGAATTGGACGGAAATGACTATTAGTGGTATTTCGCCAAAAGTGGCTATATGTAGCACAAACGTGATAGTTTTGGCTACACAAGTGTATTTTACTTTAAAACATAAAAACAATCCCGTTAGAGAATAATCACAACAAATATGAAAAATTACTACGGCAACACATAATTCTGTTGGCATCGGCGTCGAGGTCACTGCGGGAGAATCATCCATTAGATTACCAACGTCAAATCAAACCGATTGAGAGTTGCTGGCGGCATCAGCATCGACATCGCTGTAGAATATACATCAATGGAGCACGATGACGACGAGGTAGACAAGCGACATTGTTACTCCCGCTTCCACCGCTTCCCCCCTCCTGCTTTCGCTTAGGTGAAACTTGGATCGGGAACATGCTCGACCGTGCCTGCTGGATGTTTTTATCGATCGAGTCATTGGATATCAGGGATATCGGAGGTGTTTCTACAATAAGACGTGCTTTGGATTCAAATTTCCGAGATATATACCGATTCAAATCTCCGATCAAATGAGCTTATTCAAACCATTGGGGAGTTTGTGGATCGACGGGGGTCAAAGGTTCTCTTAAGTCTTAACAATGTGGTCTAGTCAAAACAAGTAACCGCCATCCTCATGAGAAGAAAGTTCATTTTTCTATTGTAGATTAGTAGGTTGTTTGCTTATCCAATGCTTGACCTGATATTGCATTTGTTATGCATCAGTTGACTTAGTTTTTGAGTTCCCAAATCCAAAACGATACTTATAACAGACAACTATATGGTATTTCATTATATTCACATCAAAGACTGTCCTGATCTTGGTATATTACCATGACGAGAGAGAAAAAACAAATTGAATTAGTATTTCAACAAAAATAAATTTGCACGGTACAATATTACATTTATATGTGTTCTGAATAAATGAATAACATGATGACACTCAAATATATAAAAATAGTACATTTGGTCCTTAAACTAATCATAGTATACACTATAGTCAAACAAATGGAGAAGGTCCAAAGGAGGTACGGATTGTTAGGGATGAAAATATCAACCCAAAAACTTATCCAACCTGCCAACCGAAACCGACGCACCGACAAAATTTGAGAGTTATCAGAATTGAATTTTCACCTTGAATACCTAGAAACAAAAAATCATAATTATTAGTGTATAATAATTACTCTTACTGTTAACCTCTTTTCATACATATCTAGTTTGCAATTATATAAATCAAAATTCAATTGTACATAAATGATAAAAATAAGTTGTAAATTCATTCAATTCGGCATCTAAAATCTTAAAAGAATCATGTAATACTAAATCCTACTAGGTCTGCCAGTCGGATTAGAAATACCAAAAATCGGACCTGATCCAGCACAGTTTGTTAGTCGACCTTCAGATACCATGCCGACCTGTATTTCGGTTGAAGTTGAAAAGTATTACCCATTGGTAGCGAAAAACCTCGGTTATAGGGTTACAAAACCTCTCCTCATAATGTCATACATATTATATGGGTATGTGTTTGGCTATTTTCAAATTTGAGTAATGTAATCTGGTTTACCATAAACAATCAATTGAGTAGTAGATTGGTGCTGCATAACTTGGAGAACTTTCTAGTATTGTTGTTGGCATTAGGCCCAATCAGCCTAACTGAACATAACCGAAGTATTGTAGAGGTTTCCATGCTCAACAATCACACTATTAGTTTTACGAGTCCAAACTTTCTTCTCAAGCAGATAACTAGGAGGGTAGTCATCAAGGTTGTCAAACCGGTTTATACCGTTGTGACGATTTGGCAAGTGCAATGGTACAACCGGTGGTATAACCAGTTTGTGCCTGTTCATGCCGGTTTAAAAAAATGTGAAAACAATTAATCTCCAATGTATTTAAACATATTTGTGGACAATTGAGTTACAATCAAACAAATATCATCAACTTTTAACTAGGGCTGGCATTTTGGTTTGCGGTTAGCAGGTAACCGCCGGTCTTAACCGAAAACTGCCGGTTACCCAGTTAATCGAAAACCGACCGGTTTCCTAGACGGTCGGTGGTCGGATGAGAAAAGGAAGGGGTCGGTTGACCGAGTAACCGATGGTGATTAACCGCGGTTATCCGACTAACCGGGCCCAACCGAGACCTACTAAACCTTCCCCAAAATCCTGTCCAGATTCATCTCCATTCCCACATCTTGAATCAAAAAAATTTCCCAAATCCAGGAAGAAGAAAAAGGAGTAGCCTCTCTCAACAGCTCCCTCACAGGTGGCCCTTCTCTGCCGCGGTGAAGAGAGTCGTCTCCCCGAGCTTGTTCACCTCGTTCATCGCCGCCCTGGCGAAGACACGTCGGAGAACAGGTTCGGGCTCGACCGGCTAGATTTGACGGCAGGGGAGGAGGAGGAGGAGGGCGGCGTCGGCGTCGCGGTGGTGGAGGGAGAAGAGGAAGTGTTTGGCGAGGGAGGAAGTGTTTTGAGGGAGAGAGAGGGAGTGGAGGTGGGAGAGGGCGAGGGAGAAGGCGGCAGGGGAGGTAAGGAGGGCGGAGAGGCGGAGGCGGCGGCCGCGGGTGTCGGCGAGGGAGAGGATGGAGGAGGTGAGGTCGTGACTCGTGAGGGTGGTGAGGTTGTGGGGAGGAGGTGAGGTCGTGAGGAGGAATTTTGGGTGGAGGTGAGGTCGTGAGTTTGTGGGGAGGAATTTTGGGTGGAGGAGGATGCAGATAAGGAAGGAGAGAGAAGGATGCAAATAAGGAATGAGTGGTGGGAGGAAATTTAGGTTTTTTTTCTTTTTTGGGAGATAAAGGAGTGCGGCTAACCGAACCCAAATCGATACCCGACCGGTCGGTGGTCGGCTAACCGCAGTGTCCCTCACGGTCGGTGGCCGGTAGTGGGAGGTGGTGGCTCAGTTTAACCGATAACCGAGAAATCGATTTTCGGTTGAACCGAAACCGACCGACAACCCTGCTTTTAACTATTACATTCATAAAATGAATAATAAATTAATTTTTGTATACATTAAATTCATTAAAATGATGTCATTTTATTTAGAATACGTAAATCGATCATACCGGTCATATCGGTGGTGTCATGCCGGTTTCATGACTGGCACAGGTTGAACCAGGTTCAACCGGGTGGCATACCACCGGCATGACAACCATGGTAGTCATTCTTATTTCAACAAACATCTTCTTATGGCCAATATAACAACACAAAGTACACACATGCTTCTTTTACTTGCCTCTTGAAAGCATTACCTAACACATTTAATCCAAAATGTGTGCCAATTAACAACCTTAGTAAAGCAGTAATGCCATCAACAATTGAGTTAGGGTTGGGATATTGGATACCATAGGATTGGAATAACATGCCATTTTTTCTTTCACGTTGGATCATCATTGCAAACTTCTTATTATATATGTGTGTGTATGTGTGTACTCCTTGAGTAAGCATTGTACTTAATATATCACCCTACTTCTCAGAAAAAAATCATCCTCGAAAAAACGTAACCAAGAAATCAACAATGATGAAACGCTCATCATCGTCGTTAGCAACAATTCTCTTAATTCTTCTATTTATTTGTCTCATTAGTGGTGATTATCTATATTTTTATATCCAACCATTTTATTTTTATGTATTTAGTACCAATGTCTCGTCTTTTATTAATTACTTACATTAATTTGATTTCGTAAGTGATTCATGTTTGTAATGAAAAACAGGCAACGAGGTCACATCAAATCGTGATTATTGGGGCAGTCTTTGCAAATTCACTTCTTTCCCAGGTGTGTTTTTGTATCTTCGAGGCGGTGTTTGCAAGGATAAAGAATGTGATAGCGCATGCAACAAAATGTTTGGAAAATTGGGAATATTTATCAAAGGACAGTGTGAGCAATTAGATTGTGCATGCTATGAAATATGCTATAAGCTCCCACCGCGACCAATCCAAAATTAAATTAAGTGACAGAATAACTTCTTGCGAATAAATAAATAAAATTTCATTTAGTTGATCATTAAAGATGATGAGATTTGTAATTTCAAGGATCTAGATCTATTATTCCTTTTTATAGTTTTTCATATAGTCATGATGATGTCAGAATTTATGTGTATTGTTTTAGTTTTGAATGTTTTTTTTTATTATCTTTAGTTTCAAAAATTTCTGAAAAACTGGATGTACTGGTTATGTGTTTGTGGCACTGCGATCAAGTTGTCATAGAAGGTAGCTATTCACTAGGGATGGCAATTACCCACCCATGGGTAATTATACCCAAACCCAACTAGATCCATTCACAATGGGTTGGGTATGGGTGAAGTGCATATGGGTTTGGGGGTTTGTAAATGGGTTTGGGTAAGGTATGGCTATTTCTTCCTTAATCTAAATGGGCATGGGTTGGATATGGATATCCATTTATTTGAGGGTGTTGTAACTACACATGCAAAAATTGGACCTATTTGTAAAACTTGAAAAGATATTTAGGTACAAAAATGTAAAACAAAAAATATTTAGGTACCAAAATGTAATTTTCCATCAATATTTTGAGGACTTATATGCAAAAAAATTAAATTTAGGTACTAAATATGCATATCTATTAAGTTTAGGTACCAAACTGTAATTTGCATTTGGGCATGGATGCAAACCCAAATCCATTTGTTATAAACCCAACCCAACCCAAGTAAATGGGTATGGGTACAAACCCATCAAAGTCTACCCATATCCATCTATTTGGATTTCATACCCAACCCAATTGGGTTGGATAGTAAACAACCCATGGGTATGGCAAAATTGCCATCCCTACTATTCACTGTTCTGGTAGGTAAAGAATGTTAGTGAGTGATATAAGATTCATAATAATCTTCTCCCAATAGCTCGAGTTATTGGGACCACCTGGTTTATGACATGGTATCAGAGCTGGTTTGACCAAGTGATCGTGTGTTCGAATCTCTAAATCCCCAATATTAATAGTTGATTAAAGCACAAGGTATGGTGATCGCCTGTGCAAACTTCAAGCTCATGGGTTAGCGTTGATTTGAAGGGACGTGTTAGAGAGTGATATAAGGTCCATAATAACCTTCTCTTAATAACTCGAATTATTGGGGACTCACTGGTTAATGACAAGAAATTACTGTTTACTTCTATACCAAAGCTTGAACTATGTCGAGGGCGTAGGATAGCATGACAACCCTTTTAAGGGTGAAAATAGTGTCAACCAACCCGAATACTGTACACGTCATCTTTTTTTTGAACTAGCGATTAAAGTTGGGTCGGAGGTAGGTTTGGAAATCACTTGTGATCTCTCTCTCCTTCCCTATCCAAGGGGATCGCTCAACTCAGGGCTTATGTAAGAGACGGAGACGACACACTACCTAATCTTCATGTGTTACTATGGGTACGACATGAGCACCATACGGTCCACATCCAAAGTTGCACAGTCAAACTTCTCGTGCCTCCCGGATCTAGAAAATCATACAAATTCTCACTGTTCTTGGTTTCACGTTTGACATCACAATTACAACCACCACAATGACATTCGGGAGTAGGAAAAATCGACTAGATTTCATCCAAAGACCATGTAGCTTCGTATAAAAGCTAGAAACATTGGATTTTTCCTCTTGCAACCATACTGATGGTGCACACAACTCATAGAGTCTGAGCCCACTCCCTTGACCAAAACAAACTTTGAGATCTAGTCATATCTCTCAAGTCGTTCGAGCAAAGCGAACACTTGTACATATCTCCTTGCTCATGGTTGTTTTCAACTAGCCCTTCACCATTGCATCACATCGCTACCATTGATCAAACAAATCACTTTCGAAGGGTTGGAGATAGAGACTTCACCATGGCTGGGTTGCCTCCCAACAAGCGCTTCTTTCTCGTCGTGAACCGGACGATGGCTCTTAAGTTTCGGTCCATGCTAGAACCTCCTTGAATTTAAGGTTCTCGTCGATGAGGCGGAGTCTCAAGTCACGAGCATTTGGTATGATAGGTGATGTAGGCGCGTTTACTTGATGAATATAAAGTCTCCAACCGCGAGACCTCTTCTTTTCTTCCTCTCTTGTCTCATTTCCCCAAACAAGATGTGACATCATCAACTGACCACCATAACGTCCACCAAGAGGGACCGATGTCTATGTGGCCTTGCTCTGGCAAAGAGACACTGCAAATGGGTCCTTTCCAAGCAGCTTCTCGAAGTTTGGTGGAGATATCACTTGTAACTCATGGCTGGTGCAAGCCTCTTCCACCTCAACTTCATCCTCCGTCTGAACGCCTATTGCATCTTCAAATCCCCTTATGTCCTCATTATTTGATTCCTCCCCTTGGAAAAGATCAAGAAATTCCTCTAATTTACCTCCTTCATTCTCCACAACTTCTTTCCTCATCCGTTCTTGCTCTTCTTTTTCTAGCACGGATAGGAGAGCAAGTCTCCATGCAATCTTTTTAATAAGATTAGCTTGCATCTCCTCACTCATGCCCGCCTCTTGAGTCAATTGCCTAGAGGGACGTATCCTTCTATAGAACAACTGATCAACGCGTTCTGAACTAGGTTCCCTCTATCGAATGAGATTCTCAATCGATACAAAGTGGTGAATCGACCCTCGACTAAAGCAATAAATCGAATACTATCAATCTATGGTGCTCTATTGACTTAATCAGGTATTCGCTCTCATAGGATCAGAGCAGAATCAATAATGTCGACTAAAGCAGAATTGAATCATGAAAACATCCACAGATTGAATATGAACTCAAGATTATCAAGTAAGAGTACTCATATAATCATTCAATCAAACAAACATGGCTAGGGTTCCTCAAAACCTAAGTGAAGGGTAGTTACTCCATAGAGAAGAGAGAGAATGCAGAAATCTGATCTAGATTTTCAATCTCCATCTCCAAGCTTGATTCCCAAGCTCCAATGGTGAAGAAATCCTATAAAATAGCTCCAAGAATGATCCCAAGTTGCTCTCTCTCTAGGGTTCGTCTCGTGGGTGTTTGGGATCCAAAACCCAGCTCTCCTCTCCAAAATCCGAAATTGTGTTAAAATGCAACTATCCACGATTACACGGTCAGGCCGCACGGTCGTGCAACATCCTTGGCTGCCCGTGCATCCATTGCACGGCCCGTGCAATGCGATGCCTTGCCGTGCAGCTTCTCGCAGAATTCATCACGAGCAGAAAATAAGTCATGCACGATCGTGCACACCCTGGCCGCGCATCTTCGCTTCCACGGCCACCATGTACGGCCGTGCGTCTTCCCGCACTGGCCGTGCAACTCGTTTGCTCTCTATCGCTCATCCCTACACTGCCCAATCGACTCCGAACTCGTTCTCAAACCTTCATTCACGCATTAGGACCTGAAATGTCATAAACAAGAACAACCTTGTGTAAAATCGGGTTAAAACCCGAGATCCGAGCCTCAAGCAGTATAAGAATGATGGACAAAAACATGTGCAAATATCGAGTCATCAACATCCCTGGCTTGGTTATTCTTGTCCTTGTTAGGATTGACTATTGAGTGCGCTTCAACTTTATAAATTTAAAGCTCGACCGAAGCAGCGATCAGAAACACAAGAGATCTCTAGTGATTTCAAGAACATATGACAATTTTTGCATTCTACCAACCTATTTTGCTGAGACACCTCGGATAAGATTTTTGTGACAGAATTCCAAAAGATTTATAGAGGCTCAAGAACTGACAAGAACTAAATCCTCCACTAGGATATAAAAGGACTATACAAACAGTCTTATTCAACTTAGAATTTCAAAGATTGGGTTAGACAAAAAGGAAACCGGAAATATGCGCATTTCACAAACCAAAGGAAAAATAACATTGTATGACCTCCAACTCTGTACCTTGCAGCAGTCGACCCGGTGGGTTTATGTGACCTATTTATCTCACTGGGTCAGGGTCAAAGTGGGCCAACCGGCAAGGCGACCCGCGGGTTGATAACCACGAGAGTTCGAAACTGAATCTTTCATACCACGTATTTCTTGGAGTTGAGACGAGTTGTACACTGTTCAGAATTCATAGACTCTGATAACATGTTAATCATAACGGAATATCGAAACAGAAACGGAAATCAACACAGATAATTATGAGGTTTCCTCGTTCAGTATGAACGAGACTAGTCCACGACTGAAGCTATTGTATCCCTTTATTCAACTTAGCTTCAACAGATCTTATTACATGCATATATATACAAGCTAGAGTTTCACAACCGAGGAACTCGGGCAACCCTAACTATCCCATACCCATGAGCCTAGCATATGGGAGACATGGGCCGATCCCAAGTTAATATATATAAACCAAAACCTTGTTTACTGTTCACTAAGACAAGAGGTCTTTTGTATGATATAAACCTTCTAAATTGGAATAGACTAGATGGAAGGTTGTCTACCTAGTTTTACCCATTGACCCAATCGAGTTAGTGTGTTGAGGGTTAATGATTCGATCATTTTAGTTTGCGTATATGAGAAAGTCACTATATTGTGCCTAAATTTATAAATAATATAAAATCTCAATAACATATGAGTGATAATGTATAACATTACACCAAAATAATAGTTCATATTTGGATCCAACATATAGTAAAAATTGAAACACACTCATATAACATCAATATTCGAACGCTCAACTTAATTCCAAAGATAAGGTAAAACTAAGGAGAATACCGGAAAAGTCACATTTTGCAAATTAAAGGAAAACACGACGTCGTCTTACCTCCAAATCGAAAGCCTTGATGCTGGTAGACCCGGTGGTGCATTGTAACCATTTTTCTCATCGGATAAGTATCAAAACGGGTCAACTCGCAAGTTGACAACCTTAACTAGAAAGGTGGTAAATTTCTTAAAAATGAGAAAAATAGTAGATGACTAAATTTAGAGCATATCTTGAACACTTTTTATAATTCAAAAAACAAAATATATTCATGAAATTTAAGTTTGTTTTACTTTTTCAAGAGACTCTATCTACAAAGATCATTAGAAAATCGGAGGACATCTATACCTCTTTTCTTATCATAAAGAAAAAAAATAAAATTCAAAGGATAGAATCATACTAATTTACAGGTCGTTTGCTTGATGGAATTGAAAAAATGAAGGTTTTCATAAAATATGGGTTTTGAAACCCCATGGATATATGAGAGATTTTGATTCTTGTGGACTTGAAAACACCATTTTATTTCATAGATTTCATGATGAATTTTTTAAATTAAATTTGTATATATGAAGTGAAATTGACATGAGAATATAAAGAAAATATATGAACCTAACAATTGAGTTTGAACAACATCCACAAAACTTGATTCAAATCCATCAAACGTAATGACTAAAAGTTTGCTTTATTTTCTACCCTCCAACCAGCCGTTGCTTAGCGCGACACAAATTTTCTAGTACATATATATAACTCAACACATTGTTTCTCAAAAAAATTTATGAAGATATGTGTTAATCGTAAAAACAGATTTGAAATAACATGCTCAAAATATATCGAGATTGATTTACATTAGAATAAAAAATAAATCAATTAATTTAAGAAGAATCACAAAAGCTCAATTTATATAATTAAAAATAAAATATCAAACGGTCGGCATTGATTGGGGTCTATCCAATATTGATTAGATGACAACAATTAGGAAGTTTTATTCAAAGACAATTAACTAGATTTGTGCCCGTCCGTTGGCCGAATACATTTTGTAAATAGAATAAATAACAATAACTATTATACAAAGCCAGATATATTTTTTATGATATAAAATAACCCACACTATTAAATTATTGAAAAACTCAAAATTCGCAATTGAAAGTAAAAATCAAACTCATTCCAAAGAACCAATTCATATATCACACTTCAATTACTTCTCACTGTCATTTACATATTTATATAGGGGACTATTTGTATGTGATGAAGTTAAAATCATATGTTTTCTACTCATATTGGTATCTAAATCACCTCTCAAATCAGAATCCAAAATACCTTGGTTGCAATGTTGTTACGACTTTCCACATAATTGTAATGTGTTTGATTCTTTCAATTTTGTTTGAAGTCTATAATTGTAAAAATCACATTAAGTCATGTTCTTCTTGTTGAGTCCATCTGCATCCTCACAATAAGTATATATGAAATATTGCAAAGCCATTAAACTTAGATGATATATACTAATTTATTCTCGTTCATGAATTTGATAATGGACAATCTACCAGGAGAAAACTTTTGCTCCACCGCATTATCAACAATTAAATAATAACCTCATTTGTAGATGATAAATCATATTCTCTACCATCCTCTTTTCTTTTAGCAAGCAACTTAATTTCAACTTTTTTTTTTTACAAATAGTAGTGTCACTCAACTTGCTGAACAATAGTGTCATTCAATCTGTCAATTGCACATCGAAATGTCTTTACTAAGATATTACTTGAGCTAACATTCCTAAAATTGTTGAATAGTTGAATTATGCAAAGGGATTTGAAATTGGACCTATAGAGAAAAATCTAATCAGTTTTGGAGTTCATTGCAGTGTCATAGAGGTAGAGTTGAGAAAATTTTGGTATCTTCTCTTCAATGTAACATGCTACTGATATGATGATCTACTTCATCTCCAATCGAATAAACTTATACATCTCCTCTATAATTTATAGATCTGTCCAGATTACCTCCAATAGAAGTTAATGCAAATACCCCATTATAACTTCAGACATGTTCCAAAAATTGATGCCTCGTTGAAGTATATATTTGCTTATGTAGAATATTGAAAACCTATAAAGGCTATCTCCGAGGAGGGAGGTTCACTTTGCATTATCTGTAGCACAATGAAAACTTTGGTTATTGAAATTCCACGTGGGTTTAATTTTGTACTCTCACCTTTCTATTTCATCTCCAAAATATCCACATTACTTATACAAAGGGTTTCCATTATCAAAATACACTTGTATAGCCAAAACTATCACGTTTGTGCCACTTATAGCCAATTTTTGCGAAATACCACTAATAGCAACTTTTGAAAGATGTTGCATGCCAGATATGGCCATTTCCGTTAGAAACTTTAACGGTGTTAATAACACCGTGAACTTATTTGACGGCCAGTTGACGAGGCTCCAATTCAGCGGACACGCCAGCGACAACTAAGCAAAGATTGATACGTCAGCTTAATAATTTATTTATTAGTTTAGAAAAAATTTAAATTCAATCTAAAAAATTAACCCTTATATTCCCACCTAACCGATTCGCACGAGCTTCTTTCTTCCCCAACTCTTGGCTGGAAACAAAATTAGGGATCTTCTCAAATTTCCTCTTCCCCACGAATCATCTTCCACATTCTGATCGATTCGTCTATTAATCCTCCCCATTACCCACCAATCTTCTTCTACTTTCTGAACGGTTCGGCGATTACTTCTTCCTGCATTTCCTCTTCCCCAAATCCCACCTTCTCTGCCGATTCACGACCCCGAAATCGGGAATTTATCCTGCCCAGAACTTCACGCGAAGGTACAGCCACATCGAAGCGAGCATTTTTCTTAACTTCGACTAGCATCAATACCCTAGGGGCGGTACTTTGTTGGCACAAGAAGTCATGTGTGGTCAATACATCTGGAACAGAAGCGAACCCAGGCAGACAGTTCTATGGGTGTCCATTTTGGATTGTAAGGTGTTTAGAGATGGCTTTTGCAATTGTCATTGATGTGTGCATTAAGTTGAATGCTCGTATGGTGCAGGACGCGAAGAAGAACTGTCGCTTCTTTAGGTGTGTGCGAATGAAGATAAGCAACATGACTCTGAAATTGGGTGTACAAGGCCTTTTGGGGAGGACACCTAATTTTTACCCACCCACAACAATCCTCCCCTCAAGACAAGGACCACGAACTTCGTGTCCTCACCTAAGCGATTATCTTGATCCGCTAGACGCCTTGTATCGATGGGCTTCTCGGTACAAGGACTTTACTAGACGCAGAACTCTCTTTGATCTGCTTCCCAAATGCGGAACTCTCTTTGATCCGCCAAGCCCAAACAAATGCGGAACTCTCTTTGATCCGCCAAGCCCAAATAGACGTGGATCTCTCCTAGATCCACCAAACAGACGCGAGTCACCTTTGACCCGCCACACAAATGCAGATCTCAAATCTCGAGGTCACCGAAAGAGGGTCCCACCAAACTTACGTCCACCGCCCTAGACCGAACCAGCCTCTGATACCACTTGTCGAATCGGGCAACCCATTAGTACGATATTGTCCGCTTTGGGCCAAGCCCGCACGGTTTTACTCTTGGGTGTCCACCCCAAAAGGCCTCGTACTAATGAGCTTGGTGGACACTAATATACAAGGGTTCCTTTCCTTGTATTTCCGATGTGGTACTTCAATTGTCCCATAACACTAATATTGGTTATTCTTCGGTTTCACCACGTTATTATGTAGTATCCTGCTGCAAATCGATTGTTGTGCTGTAAGAAATGAATCGACATTGTTGATGTAATTCGACATTGGTATGATAAGGTTGTAAACTTTGAACGAGTGACGTTTGAAAAGCGAAAATCTTTCGTCAGCCAACACATCATCTTCAGAATCTTCATCATCGGATTCCTCTTCTTCAAAATCGTCCAGCTGCTCGACCTCCTCCCCATGGCCATTAATAAACGCCTTCACCTTCCTTTTCTTAATCTCCCCATAAGCTTGCAAGTAGGACCTTGGTTCGTGGTATTCCTCGTCAGAAGTATCTGCATCATCAGAGTCATATACGTGGTATATGTCTCGAGCAACATAAGCCTTAATAAAATCTTCTGCAGCCAAGGACACATCTGATAAAACCAAAGCCTCTGGATCGTTCTCCCCAAAAGCAGAGTCCCAAGAATCAGCCATCTGTCATTACCATTTAATTTTTTTTAAACACCATTAACTACAATGCTAACTATATTTTAATCTCTACCAAACAAATGGAAAACAATAACGAATAACAATATTCAATTCTAGGGTTCAGGGGGATCAAAGAGGAATCGACAATTCTAACCCAGTAAATTGACAAATTCACCTTCAGATATGGGGGAAACTTGCCTTTCGGTGGTCCCGAGATTCCTCTGCCGTGTTGCTTTCTTGTCTTTACAGCTCGAGACCAACCAAATAAGGAAGAGAAGGAAGAAACTATAAGAACCTTCACCCCACAATCCATAGCCACAATAAAGGAACCAAGAAAAGAACCTTACTAGTCGGTACACACGAGTGGGAGCACAAATCCCCTTTTGAAGTGAGATTAGGGTTTCAACAAACCCAGTAAAATCGCGTCTGCTATGGGTCGATTCCGAAATTCCTTCAAAGCATTCAGCAGAAAACAAGCTTCGAAAGACTCCGTCAAAGCTAGTTGCTGGTTGGTCAACCCATCTGATGCATGTATGTCTTTATCGAGGAAGGAGGCGATAGGGTCAGATCGCTCAATGGAGGAAGAGCGGGACTGGAGGAAAAGGGGTATATCGATGGGGGAGGCAGGAATAGAGGTAGGGTACGCTGGTCGTCGGAGGCAGATCGTTGACTTCGTCGCTCGAAGATGGGAATAAGGGTAGGTGAATTCGAAGAAGACGATAAGATAGAGTATAATGGTGGGTGGGTAAAAATTAGGTGTTCTGGTCTTTTTCTCCATTTTTTTAATTATTATCCACGTGGAAAACTCAGGCGGGCCACGTAAGCCCCGCGTTTTCTCAGTCAGATTTAACGTTAACAGCGTTAAAGAATTGGACGGAAATGACTATTAATGGTATTTCGCCAAAAGTGGCTATATGTGGCACAAACGTGATAGTTTTGGCTACACAAGTGTATTTTACTTAAAAACATAAAAAAAATCCCGTTAGAGAATAATCACAACAAATCTGAAAATTTACTACGACAACACATAATTTTGGTGGCATCGGCGTCGAGGTCACTGCGGGAGAATCATCCATTAGATTACCAACGTCAAATCAAACCGATTGAGAGTTGCTGGCGGCATCAGCATCGACATCGCTGTAGAATATACATCAATGGAGCACGATGACGACGAGGTAGACAAGCGACATTGTTACTCCCGCTTCCACCGCTTCCCCCCTCCTGCTTTCGCTTAGGTGAAACTTGGATCGGGAACATGCTCGACCGTGCCTGCTGGATGTTTTTATCGATCGAGTCATTGGATATCAGGGATATCGGAGGTGTTTCTACAACAAGACGTGCTTTGGATTCAAATTTCTGGGATATATACCGATTCAAATCTCCGATCAAATGAGCTTATTCAAACCATTGGGGAGTTTGTGGATCGACGGGGTTCAAAGGTTCTCTTAAGTCTTAACAATGTGGTCTAGTCAAAACAAGTAACCATCATCCTCATCGAGTCATTGTTTGCTTATCCAATGATCGACCTGATATTGCATTTGTTATGCATCAGTTGACTTAGTTTTTGAGTTCCCAAATCCAAAACGATACTTATAACAGGCAGCTATATGGTATTTCATTATATTCACATCAAAGGCTGTCCTGATCTTGGTATATTACCATGACAAGAGAGAAAAATCAAATTGAATTAGTATTTCACCAAAAATAAATTTGCACGGTACAATATTACATTTATATGTGTTCTGAATAAATGAATAACATGATGACACTCAAATATATAAAAATAGTACATTTGGTCCTTAAACTAATCATAGTATACACTATAGTCCAACAAATGGAGAAGGTCCAACGGAGGTACGGATTGTTAGGGATGAAAATATAAACCCAAAAACTTATCCAACCTGCCAACCGAAACCGACGCACCCACAAAATTTGAGAGTTATCAAAATTGAATTTTCACCTTGACTACCTAAAAACAAAAAACATAATTATTAGTGTATAATAATTACTCTTACTGTTAACCTCTTTTCATACATATCTAGTTTCCAATTATATAAATCAAAATTCAATTGTACATAAATGATCAAAATAAGTTGTAAATTCATTCAATTCAGCATCAAAAATCTTAAAAGAATCATGTAGTACTAAATCCTACTAGGTCTGTCAGTCGGACTAGAAATACCAAAAATCGGACCTGATCAAGCACAGTTTGTTAGTCGGCCTTCAGATACCATGTCGATCTGTATTTCGGTTGAAGATGAAAAGTATTACCCATTGGTAGCGAAAAACCTCGGTTATGGGGTTACAAAACCTCTCCTCATAATGTCATACATATTAGATGGGTATGGGTTTGGCTATTTTCAAATGTGAGTAAGGTAATCTGGTTTACCATAAACAATCAATTGAGTAGTAGATTGGTGCTGCATAACTTGGAGAACTTTCTAGTATTGTTGTTGGCATTAGGCCCAATCAGCCTAACTGAACAGAACCGAAGTATTGTAGAGGTTTCCATGATCAACAATCACACTATTTGTTTTACGAGTCCAAACATTCTTCTCAAGCAGATAACTAGGAGGGTAGTGATCAAGGTTGTCAAACCGGTTTATACCGTTGTGACGATTTGGCAAGTGGAATGGTACAACCGGTGGTATAACAAGTTTGTGCCTGTTCATGCCGGTTTAAAAAAATGTGAAAACAATTAATCTCCAATGTATTTAAACATATTTGTGGACAATTGAGTTACAATCAAACAAATATCATCAACTTTTAACTAGGGCTGGCATTTCGGTTTGCGGTTAGAGGGTAACCGCTGGTTTTAACCGAAAACTGCCGGTTACCAGCTAACCGAAAACCGACCGGTTTTCTAGATGGTCGGTGGTCGGATGAGAAAAGGAAGGGGTCGGTTGACCGAGTAACCGACGGTGATTAACCGCGATTATCCGACTAACCGGGCCCAACCGAGTTCCACTTAACCTTCCCCAAAATCCTGTCCAGATTGATCTCCATTCCCACATCTTGAATCAAAAAAATTTCCCAAATCTAGGAAGAAGAAGAAGGAGTAGCCTCTCTCAACAGCTCTCTCACAGGTAGCCCTTCTCTGCCGCGGTGAAGAGAGCCGTCTCCCTGAGCTTGTTCACCTCGTTCACCACCGCCTTGGCGAAGACACGTCGGAGAACAGGTTCGGGCTCGACCGGCTTGATTTGACGGCAGGGGAGGAGGAGGAGGAGGGCGGCGTCGGCGTCGCGGTGATGGAAGGCGGCGGGCGGCGGTGGCGGGGGAGGTGAGAAGTGGGAGGTGAGGTGGTGGAGGGAGAAGAGGAAGTGTTTGGCGAGGGAGGAAGTGTTTTGAGGGAGGGATAGGGAGTGGAGGTGGGAGAGGGCGAGGGAGAAGGCGGCGGGGGAGGTGAGGAGGGCGGAGAGGCGGCAGCGGCGGCGGCGGGTGTCCGCGAGGGAGAGGATGGAGGAAGTGAGGTCGTGACTCGTGAGGGTGGTGAGGTTGTGGGGAGGAGGTGAGGTCGTGAGTTTGTGGGGAGGAATTTTGGGTGGAGGATGATCCAGATAAGGAAGGAGAGAGAAGGATGCAGGTAAGGAATGAGTGGTGGGAGGAAATTTGGGGGTTTTTTTTCGGGAGATAAAGGAGTGCGGCTAACCGAACCAAAATCGATACCCGACCGGTCGGTGGTCGGCTAACCGCAGTGTCCCTCACGGTCGGTGGCCGGTAGTGGGAGGTGGTGGCTCGGTTTAACCGATAACCGAGAAATCGGTTTTCAGATAAACCGAAACAGACCGACAGCCCTGCTTTTAACTATTACATTCATAAAATGAATAATAAATTAATTTTTGTATACATTAAATTCATTAAAATAATGTCATTTTATTTAGAATACGTAAATCGATCATACCGGTCATATCGGTGGTCTCATGCCGGTTTCATGACTGGCACAGGTTGAACCAGGTTCAACCGGGTGGCATACCACCGGCATGACAACCATGGTAGTCATTCTTATTTCAACAAACATCTTCTTATGGCCAATATAACAACACAAAGTACACACATGCTTCTTTTACTTGCCTCTTGAAAGCATTACCTAACACATTTAATCCAAAATGTGTGCCAATTAACAACCTTAGTAAAGCAGTAATGCCATCAACAATTGAGTTAGGGTTGGGATATTGGATACCATAGGATTGGAATAACATGCCATTTTTTCTTTCACGTTGGATCATCATTGCAAACTTCTTATTATATGTGGAAGTGGCATGGATCTAAGAGCATAACTGATCCAACAAAGCACGATGTTTAGAGAAATACTGTGAGAAGCTAAGGGTACCTTACTTTAGAGCAAACACGGGTTCTTGGATATCGCTAAAACGAAAGAATCACCGTGAGAAAGTTGTTCTCAAAGCTCGTTCCATGCCCCAATCTAGTGCTAATGCAGAGAATATAGTTAGAGAACATCAAATTAATCCCTGACATAAATTCTTCAATGGATGTTTTTCGATAAGTAATTGAAAAAAAAAATCAATTAAAGAAGGTAAAAGTAATCATAATACTTGAAAAGTAGTCAATCAAATGACTAGAGCTAAATGACCCGAGAATTACGGATTAAAATTGTTATACAATTGCAATTCGGATTTAGAAAAGATAATTTCTCGCCTATAATTATGGAGAAGTTAGGATTTACTAAACAAAGAAAGCATGTTATCGAATCTCCATATATATATATATATATATATATATATATGTGTGTGTATGTATGTACTCCTTGAGTAAGCATTGTACTTAATATATCACCCTACTTCTTAGAAAAAAATCATCCTCGAAAAAACGTAACCAAGAAATCAACAATGATGAAACGCTCATCATCGTCGTCAGCAACAATTCTCTTAATTCTTCTATTTATTTGTCTCATTAGTGGTGATTATCTATATTTTTATATCCAACCATTTTATTTTTATGTATTTAGTACCAATATCTCGTCTTTTATTAATTACTTACATTAATTTGATTTCGTAAGTGATTCATGTTTGTAATGAAAAACAGGGAACGAGGTCACATCAAATCGTGATTATTGGGGCAGTCTTTGCAAATTCACTTCTTTCCCATCAGTGTTTTTGGATCTTCGAGGCGGTGTTTGCAAGGATAAAGAATGTGATAGCGCATGCAACAAAATGTTTGGAAAATTGGGAATATTTATCAAAGGACAGTGTGAGCAATTAGATTGTGCATGCTATGAAATATGCTATAAGCTCCCACCGCGACCAATCCAAAATTAAATTAAGTGACAGAATAATTTCTTGCGAATAAATAAATAAAACTTCATTTAGTTGATCATTAAAGATGATGAGATTTGTAATTTCAAGGATCTAGATCTATTATTCCTTTTTATAGTTTTTCATATAGTCGTGATGATGTCAGAATTAATGTGTATTGTTTTAGTTTTGAATGTTTTCTTTTGTATTATCTTTAGTTTCAAAAATTTCTGAAAAACTGGATGTACTAGTTATGTGTTTGTGGCACTGCGATTAAGTTGTCATAGAAGGTAGCTATTCACTAGGGATGGCAATTACCCACCCATGGGTAATTATACCCAAACCCAACTAGATCAATTCACAATGGGTTGGGTATGGGTGAAGTGCATATGGATTTGGGGGTTTGTAAATGGGTTTGGATAAGGTATGGCTATTGCTTCCTTAATCTAAATGGGCATGGGTTGGATATGGATATCCATTTATTTGAGGGTGTTGTAACTACACATGCAAAAATTGGACCTATTTGTAAAACTTGAAAAGATATTTAGGTACAAAAATGTACAACAAAAAATATTTAGGTACCAAAATGTAATTTCCATCAATATTTTGAGTACTTATATGCAAAAAAATTAAATTTAAGTACTAAATATGCATATCTATTAAGTTTAGGTACCAAACTGTAATTTGCATTTGGGCATGGATGCAAACCCAAATCCATTTGTTATAAACCCAACCCAACCCAAGTAAATGGGTATGGGTACAAACCCATCAAAGTCTACCCATATCCATCTATTTGGATTTCATACCCAGCCCAATTGGGTTGGATAGTAAAAAACCCATGGGTATGGGCGAAATTGCCATCCCTACTATTCACTGTTCTGGTAGGAAAAGAATGTTAGTGAGTGATATAAGATTCATAATAATCTTATCCCAATAGCTCGAGTTATTGGGACCAACTGGTTTATGACATGGTATCAGAGCTGGTTTGACCAAGTGATCGTGTGTTCGAATCTCTAAATCCCCAATATTAATAGTTGATTAAAGCACAAGGTATGGTGATCGCCTGTACAAACTTTAAGCTCATGGGTT